AAACCGCACACCCCCAAAAGTATCCCAGTTACCTCCAATCCAGTTGACATCCCCGTTCTATAGGCGCCACCCTGCCCAAACGAAACTTTCGAGATTCGTTTTTTCTTAAAAAACAAAAACAAAACACTCCGAAATCCGTGGTTAGAAAAAGCAAAACTATCTGGACTCTGAAGTCATCACTCTCCCAACAGTTACGGGATCCACCCGGCTCGCTTGCGCTGCAGAAAGGTTGCGCTTGCCAACTCCGCGCGCGCCCGCCTCCCGTGCGCCCCCTTACCTATTTGCGGGGCCGGACAGTGGCTCCTACGAGGCCGGTTCCCTGCACTGCTCCATGGCGAGGCGAGGAGGAAATGTCCCGAGGGGGGCTGGCTTAGAAGCAAGCCGGCCTTGACTTATCCGCGCCCCGGCCGGGGTGTCCCGAGCTCATCACCGCGCTCAGAAAAGTCCCCGCGCGCCCTTGGGCGGCCGTAGCTCCCCGGGAGCACCCTGGTAGCGGCGGGGCGCCATCTTTTCTTCTTCTTCTTTTTTTACGCTGCTTTTTCCCCCTCTTTTTCCCGCGAATTATTTCGGTTTGGCTCGTGCAATTAGCGCGGCGGGTTTCCACCGCGCCGCCCCCGGCTCCTCCTCTAGGTTGCATCCTCTCGCCCGAACGGGGCGGGGAGCCCTCTCCCCCTCCGCCGAGAACGCCAGCTTTACGGACGAGGCTTTCCCGCGCGCGGAGGCAGGGTGGAGCCTCCATGGCCAGAAGCAGTATACCTCGGAGCCCCAGCTTGCTGGGGACAAACAGCCCCCGAATTGTTCGTGTTTCTTGCTTCCCCGCCTCCTCTTTAATTCGCCATCGGGCCCCTTTGGGAAGGGGGCAATGGTGGATTTGAACTCCGTGGCTGCTACCCCCAATTCCTTCTCGTTGCATCCCGTGTCAATGTTATTTTTTTTCCTTCATTGCTGGCAGTGGCCCCATAACCACTGGGGCTAAACAGGGGTATCCCCCACCCCCCATCCAGTTCCTAAGATTGTATTTTATTGGCCTGGCTGAGATGAAACAGGACACTTGGAATAGGGGCCCCACCTTGTTCACAGCCTCTCTCCCCCCACCCCCCGGCAAAAAATCCCTGCTAAACCACCCGTTTCCGGTGTGCACCGTCACCCTTACTAACAGAGCAGCTTCATTCACACATGCTAAGCTGAGTGTTGAACCTCAGAGTATTTGGGGAGGTGGGCTTAGCCAGCAATGGGTCAGTTCGGTGCATAGACCAGACACTTTCATTTTAACTGCTACTGTGAAGGAGCCCTTACTGGAATCATGGAAAGGAAAGAAAATGGATGTAATCATCATGACCACAACGGATAGGAGAGAGGATGAAAAAATAAAATTGTCCAGACACCTGTTCTGTTTTTATTATGACACCCTGGGATGAAAACCATTTTGGCAACTGCCGGTCAGTAACATTTGAGACAATCCCCAAAGGAACATGGATAGTTCTGTTTTGGCTACATAAACAACCTTTTGGCTCCAGCGGTGGGGAGGCTCTGCAGTCAGCGAGTGAAATTTTCCATAGTGTTGGAAGAAATAGTACAACTTGTTCAACACTGCAGGTTTTGCTTTCTTTCATGACATGCAAACACAGAGACACTCATACATTTTAATGCAACGGTGAGGGAGGCAGTCTCTACCCTCCAGGCCTGAAGCCAGGGGATTAAAGAAAAGAGGAAAGGTGGGTGGGGGGAATCAATAAAAGCAATCTGCTTGTCCTGGATCAGAACAAGGGTCCATACACAAAAGCATTCCTGAGTCCAAAGTCATCATTCTGATGCATCTGGTAGTTTAAATACTTGGAGAATGAGGTTTCCTCTCCCCTGCTCTTGTCTTCAGCCTCTAATCTGAAATAAATCATCTCAGAACATTTTCTGCCCCAGTGGCTGTGCCCAATGGTCACTGCAATTATTTTACTGGAGCCATTCAAAGATATGTTTCGCTCTTTGAAAGCAACCCCTGCCTCAAGAATTGCTAAAAAGAGAGGGTTTCTCAAAGATATTTACCATAAAAGGAGTGCCAACGGGAGTCAGTTTAAGAAACTTGGCTGGGCTGTAGGGCAGAGTCAGTTTAAGATATTTGGCTGGGCTGTAGGGCACAGAAGGCCTGTTCTCTAGGAAAAGGAGATCCCAGGAAATTATGGACCTGTCCTTGATGTATATCAGTCCTTCATTCTGCCTAAAATTGGGCCAGCTCTTGAGTTTCCCCCTGTGCACACACCGATGCCAACCCATGTTTTCTCTGCAGGTATCTGAAGCACTGCAAGATTATGCATCCTGTGTGAACTACAACCCTCGCAGTTCGATTTCCACCCGGAAACCTGTGCCCAAGGTTTGTACAGCAGTCATTTTCTAGGTGGGTCCTTAGAACCCTGATCTGAAATGTCTGCAGCAATCCAAGCTCGATCAAACCAAACGATGCCAAGCTGGCACAAAACTATAACACCGGTTTTGGCTGGAAGTCAAATGTTGGGGGTGGTAGTGACTACAGCCGCCTCAGCGGGGGTCTGGGGTGGGCTAATTTGGGGCAAAGCAATCTTCAGGAGCGCCACCAGTTTGCCAAACTACAGCAACCTCCCTGTTGAGTTTTGGCCCTAACGGTTAAGGCAAGAACCGAACAACGCCTTTCCTGAGAACCGGCTGCTCCTTTTGCCTGCTGCCCTGAAAAATATTTTCACCAGCCTGTTTGCAAGGAGGCTTTCAAAAGCTTGAACTCTGCTGTGAGTCATGACGGAGCAATTGTGAGTCATGACACAGTTATAGTTATAAATAAATGCGTTGCATATCCTTCCCCTCTTCCTCTCTTAATGCCTTTTGCAGAGCCGGGTGCCAAGCAAACACAGAACAAGTTTTGTTCCCCTTGGGAGTGATTTCCTTACATTGCCTTTGACTGAAGCAATCCCTTTCTTGCCTAGAGGCTATCAAAAGGTTGACACTGAGTAGCTTTACTGTTCAGAAGTCTATCAGATCCCCCTTCTGCAAGGTGGGCAGGTTCCAGACTTTTTACAAAAATTATTATTATATTAAAAGTTTTTCCACAGAATAAAAGGTAAAGGAAAAGGAAAGAAAGAAGAGAAAAAAGTGAAAAGGATAGAACAAGAAATTAGAAATATGTAAGGGACTTCCAACCTTCTTTTCAACAGATAATTACAGTCTTATTGTCCCTCGGCGGATTCCAGATTTGGGACTCTGCTTTGACTTTTTGCTAGACCCTCAAAAGTCTCTCAGTGCAGCTTGGAATAAAGGGTATATTCTTAGAGTGGAAGCATTCTGATATCAGGAATTAGTTTTAAGTGCATATACAAATCCCTCCTGGTGGTAATGATCTTATAAAGGGAAGGAATCTCTCTTTAGAGATCTGGCTTTACTGCACTTACTTTAAAAATGGCACCCCTTTTTAATCCTACATGTCCCTGGGCATTGACAGTTGACATGTGCTCCTTTGATGATTTTCCTGGAGTCATTAATCTTCATCCTCCTACCAAACTCCTCCTCTTGATCTCCGGGAGAGAACTTCTGGGAAATGACTATCGCTCCCTGTTCTTTACAGCCAGGAGGTGAACTTCAAACTCTCCTGGATGTTCAGCTGCTTTCATGGAAAATGGCTGGAAACAACATTTTGGAAGATGTCATCATATAATTCATTCCAGACTGGGGTTGGGGGCGGAGAACCTGCTCTGCCACTGATCAAACAAGGAAGAGGAACAGGAACTCTGTCTTGAGCGACTGTAAAGCCCCACAAAGCCCCAAGTCCATGATAATTGCAAAGAATAATCTGGAAACCGCAACCGATAGCCAAGGCTGTGTTCAACAGCATCCATTTCATCATAAGCTTTCCCAATATCTGTCCGATTCCAGTGTTTTTGTTCTGCTCAGGTGAATTCCAGATCTTCTAACGCTTGCAGATAACGCAGAATATCAAGGTCGGCATGAGGGGCTTCGTCCATTCTCTGCAAAGGTTTGGAAGTTGGAGCCCAGAAGGGGACCTGAAAAGGATTCTTGCAAGCTATGCTTAATATGCAGAAATTGCAGATTGAGGGACAAGGACTGGGATTGCTATTTTCAGCAGAGCTGGGCGACCTGCAGCCCTTGAGCCACATCCAGTCCTCGGACTCATTTTATGCAGCCCTTAGTAATGTCATGTAATTTGGGTTCATGTTCTGCTGTCATTTTCTATTATCAAATGCATTCTGACCACAGGGGTTACCTGTTCCATTTCTAGAGCACCTTTGGGGAGAAGAGAAGGGAGGATATGAAAGTACAGGAGTTCTGGTTCTATCAGCTGTTTTCTTTCAGCCCTACCCATCACGTGGTCTCCAGCAGGATTACGGTACCTCTTAGGGAATGCAGCGCTGGAAAGAAAAAAGATTGCTTTCTTCTGACGTAAAACAAAGCAGAGCAATCCTAGGCAGGGGCTGAGAGCGACTGGGAAACACATTCAAGAGCGACATCAATGCAATTTCGTGGTTTTTTAAAAGCAAAATGTTAAGACATCCTTCCTCAATAAAAGAAGGCGCGCGCATTTTACAAGGTGTTCCGACCCAAATGTGTATTTTTAAAATAAGTTTTGGAATTGCTTCTTCAGATGCACGTTTAATCAGTCAGTTAAATAAACTACACAGGATCCATTGTACACCAATTAAAACCTTTCTAATGGGGTTTACAACCCTGCTTCCGGTCAATTAATTTAAAAAAAAATTAATGAGCTGAAAGTTGCACTCCTGACAGAAAAATGTAACGTGACAATTCTCACACACGACACCCAAAGCTTGGCATTTCACATGTTCACAAAAACAGCCACATTTGTCATCTTGTCATGCCAGCGTTTGACTTTTGCAATGAAAGGAAAACAGCTTTTAAAAATGACACAAAGGCAGTGTGGGCTAGGACTAGGGACTCAAGGAAAGGAGGTGGAGACAGGAAACTGGAGCACACGGCTGGCTCCAGTGCAGAGCCAAACTGGTTTCAATGCAGGTTAGATCACCCTGAATCGACCTTATCCGGGCCATGTTATACCATAACCTGAGATGTTTCCAATGTTGCTCCCAGCTTTTACCTATGCCCTCGCTCCAGAAAGAGGGATTCACGAACTGGTTTCTACGATGCACTTGAGGAACAAGGTGCCTTCTTTTAAATAAGTGTATTTCGGTGACTGTAATTTGGCCAAAGGGACAAACCGGGCAAAGCCATTGGCCTCGTTCATGTCAGTCCCTGGCCTCTGAAATGAGGCGGAGGTGGGATCAGGATGGAGAGCTGTCACAAGATGGTCTCCGTTGTCCTGACTGAGTAACATGAAGGTTATCTGCAAGGCAGCAGAGAAAAAGGATAAGGTTAGCTTTTTGCTAGGGAAAGTGGGGAACCTCCCTCCGGTGCACGGGCTTGTTTTGGTTCTCAAGCATCTTCAATAAGCAAATGTGCTACCAGAACAGGTGTACTGGTTCAATTAGCAAAAGCAGATTTTTCCCGTATCTCAAGGTCACCAGATGGAAAACTCCTGCGGCTGAACAGGCCGTGAGGACAAAATATCCCAGAGCCAGGGGCAATCCATTTGAATGCCTTCCTGGAGGGAAGGGTGGGGGGGATGAAACAAGAGCCCCCCTCCAGCCCCCTTGCTTTGCAACCCAACGTGGGCACAGTCCGCCCCAAGGAGGCTGTTGGCAAGGAAGACCTCAGGTCCAAAGTTCAGGAGCTCTATCCCTCAGCTCTAACTCATCCAACCCAACGCTGCACTCCTCCACATTTCTCAGAAATGCAAACACTGTGCTTTATGAGCCCATTCTCAAAATATTCGACCAATGAGTTGAACGGGAGAGACTGTCAAAGAGAGGCCAGGAAACAGTGGAAGCTCTCTCATCATTACCGCAAAGGGCGGGAGAAGCAAGATCAGGAATCTCCCAAGAAAGAGCTGTGAGCAATTTTATAAAGGTGGCAAGGTCCCAACGATGCTCACCCTCGTACCAGCCCTGATTACCAAGGTGTCTCTTCACAGCCTTTAAGTATAATGGAAAAGGAAGAGTGGTCATATTAATTTAGGGGATTTCATGAGTTTTGAGTAAAATCCCACATCTTCTGCAGGTGATCGGCTAGCCATTCACCTTTGGGTGATCCTGTACAGTAGCTCTGGAATCCCAAATATGCTGGGCCGCAAACCTGCCACCAAACTCACTCTTATCTAAAGGAAATGGCAGCGTTGACGTAAGAGGCAGCGATTAACGCGTCTGGAAGTTTTGCCATTTGTAGGACTTAGCGTCATTTAATCCCTTCCAAGGGTTCCCGGGTTTTTAATACTGGAGATCAGACTCTGTGTTTGTTCTGGTTCAAGCGTCAGTTTATGAAGATCAACCTCCATTTCCACAGTGAATCCCTTTGTGATTAATTTCGATTGCAAGCCTGTTTGAAAACTTTTTTTTCCTCCCCAAAGATTCATTGGTTCTGGTGGATGTTGTGACATCAAATATACTGGAGAAGAAGACAGTCCCTGTGTAGTCTTCATCGGGCTCCCCCCCTGCAAATTGGGGCTTCAACTCTCAGAATTCACAGCCAGTCACAAGAGCTGTGTCTCTCCCATGCTGGCTATGTTCATTGTATTTTTTATTCCCTTCTGTTTTATTTATCTTATCTTTTATCTTATTTTCTTTCTATGGTGTATGTTATGTCAAGCTGGTCAATGAGCAGATGAAAACCCCAACACACTTTGACTTTGACTTTTCATTGAGGATTTCCAGAAATGTGGCCAAGTTCTGCTCAAGTGTTATTGTTGTTAGAAGCTTTGGATTTTATTGTAGAGGGTTGTATAAAAAACCACAGCTGTTCTGGGTCGTTTTCTCTAGTCAGCCCTCATGACATTACTTTTTTTACCGTGCATTGCCCTGCATTTTTATTAGTTTCACTTGCTATTGTTATTATTTCTTTCCTTGCTTTTGGCCTCTCACTGTAAATCAAGAAAGTAAATAATGCGCAGTGGTGCATTGTTCTCTGGCCTCTTCTGCATGGCTGCTGGCTTCATCCATCCAGCTGTAAGCAGTATTTTCTTCATCTTCCCCTCCTAAGCCTGGCCTGACTGTCTCCAGCTGACCCATGGAGGAGTGCTAAAGCCCAGGTAGCCAATGCACCATCTGTGTCCTTCCTTTGCTACTATTTCTCTTCATGGCAACAACGACAGTTTGTCTCCATTACCTTGTGTGTGAATGGCCAGGGGAGCAGGGCATCATAGTCCCCTTTGAGAAGCACGATGAAGAGCGAGATATGTGTTCCCCTGCCTCTGCCTTCTCCATTCAGATAGATCCTCATGCACAGTTTGTACCCGTATCGAGAGGTGTAGAATGCTGAAAACAAGGAGAACTTGGAAATTAAGAAGCAGTTTCATCTGGGAGGGGAGAGGAGAGGAGAGAAGGGGAGAGAAGGGGAGAGAAGATGGAGGAAGGGAGGAAGAGAAGAGAAGAGAAGAGAAGAGAAGAGAAGAGAAGAGAAGAGAAGAGAAGAGAAGAG